AACATCATTCCTGGGGTTCAGTGGGTAGCTTCCCGTGGTAGGGGCCTGTGTGCGGTGTTCTCCTGCTCCTGGGGCCTCTTCTTCGGGGAAAGGGGGCACTGAAAGCCAACAAAATGAGCTTTCTAACTCTTCCTGAGTGTCCAGGGACACTTGACTCTCCAGAACAACCTCTGTGCTAATCCTCTAGGCCATATTTTTCCCCTTCATAGTCTTCTACATAGATCTTTTCAGCTCCACTGATTTGGAATAACATGTTTAGCGGCTTAAGAAGAAAGTGACCTTCTAGCTAGCTGGTCCCTTGGCCAGGTGTCCTTCCATGAGCCTGTTTTCTCAGGGCCTCTGTGGGTGGCTGGGCCCCCCATGGTGCCAGCACTATGGACTCTGATCCTATTCTAGGGTCTGGACAAATCCTTCCCCTCCCTGAACCTTGGGGTTTGCCATCTGTCATGCAGAAGCCATCCAAGATACGAGCACATGGACAAGAGGGCGCTGGCACAGACCAGGGGGATGAGTTCTCCTCCTCTGAGGCTCGGTGTCAAGGGAATGTGTGCTTAAAAGGCCCTTTCTGTGCATCTTCTCAGGAAGATGGGGAGGTGATCCTGGCCTCAGAAGTCTCCAAAGGCAGGTGAGTGGCCAGAGAGGGGGAAGTAGGCCCATGAACAGGAGAGACCCACGTGGGAGCTCTGCTCCGCCCTTCTTTGCCTCCTGTGGGCCCTTGAATTATTGAACCATGGTCTCAATAAACTACAGTGATTTACTGAGCCCTCAAACATCCAATCTTCCTGAGCTGTGAAACCAGTGTTTTTGTTTTAAAATAACATCTTAGTGAAGTAATTGACACCAGAACGAAAAAGTATATGTTTTCAAAAATCACTGCTCATACCACCTGACGAGCCGTTAAAACCAAACCTGCGCAGAACCCATACTCCTCTTGGTTTAGGTGCCTGGTTTGTTTAGCTCCCTGCCAAATCTGTGCCCTGGTGGAACAGGCTGTTTCCAAGGTGATGTGACAGGACCTGCAAAGCCATCCTGTGCTCTGAGCTGCACCTTCAGCCATCCTTCCTGGTGAAGGTGCCTGCCTCAACTTCCCCTCGCTAGCTGGGAGGAGCTGGTGTTGCCCACAGTGCCTGGCAGCAGCAAGCTCACGGGCAGCCTCTGCTGTCTGTCCACAGGCAGGCGGCCTGCTGCTTTGGAACACTGGGATCACTGGGAGGCCTGGGGACACAGATGGCCTGTTCCACTTCCTCTCGGATTCAGTGGGTCTGAGAAGGGACTCAGAATCTGCACCTCTAAGGAGTTCCCAAGTGAGCTGAGTCCGCACCTCTGGGACCATAATTTGAGAAGCCCCGAACTAGCTGAGCTTTAAGGAATCCTAATGAGAAATGGCCTCAATAAACTACAGTGATTTACTGAGCTGTGAATGAGGTAAGAAGAAAGGGCTTGGGGCTCAAAGGCAGGCCAGCCCAGCAGCAAGCTCAGACTTACTTGAATGATTCACCCAAAATACAAGCCTCCGGCTGAGCAGATTCTGATGAACCCCTTTCCTCTTCTTTTCCTCCCTGGGTATTTTCCCCCTGCACCCCTGAGAGCAGGTCTGCGGGCAGCCACAGCGAGGCTCTATGGCAGGATAAACAGTGGGCTTTCTCCAGGCCACAGGGATGAGCTCACATAGTCTGGGCCCTCTAACTGCTCTCTGGGGGTTTCCTGACATTTCTTAATTTGCACAGGGCTTAGTGAACTTTTAGTTTCTTTTTTTTTTCTTTTGAGATCACCCACTTTCTAATAGGACCAATTTAAAGAAAAACATGCTTTGATCATTCAGCTGTCTCTTCTTGATAGAAATGACAAGAACTCATCAGTAGGCCTGCTGAGGCGGGCAGAAAGGGTCGCAAACCAGGGCCTCATGACTCATCCCTGAGCCATGATGTCAAGAGTTGGGTCCACATCTCAGTGGAGGGTAAGCTGACCTGCGTGTCTGCCTGGTGTCACCAAGCAAATAGTTCTGTTAGGGATTCTATCCTTTGAACGTCTGAAAGCAATCTGACCTCCACACTTTCATTTGAATCTAACAAGAATTCTAGGAGAGAAGAGGAATGGGAATGACTATCCACATTTGGCAACTAGAACAACTGAGAAGTGAGGCTCCGTGTGCACGGCATGACCTTGAGCAGGGCTACTTCCCCTGTCGGCTTCTTATCTGCAAAGCTCTGGTAGAAGGCGATTCTTCCATCTGCTCAACACAATCCACAAGATCAACAGGGAGCCATGCCACAGCCCCAGTGGTCAGACTCCATGGGGGAAACCAAGATGAACAAGAGACAGCCCTCAAGAATCAAGTGACTGTCCACCTGGGAGAGAACAAATACAGTCACAAATACCCATAAGATGGAGTCAAGAACCATTAGTGTAGAAGACAGAGGCTTCAGCATGGGGAAAAGATATAGGGCAGTTTAGAGGAAGGAGAGATTACTTCCAACCCAGAACCAGGAAGACTTCATTAAGAAGAGTATGCAGGGACAGTCCCCACAACAGGACCCGAGAAGACCTCAGTTCTAGGATTCATCTGCCATAGCCAGCCATGTAAACTCGAGAAAGTCATTTCTGTCCATTTCCCAACGGGCCCTTTGCCCTAAGTGCCTCATAGCATTATGAGGATTAAATGAGAACTGATTTAAATGAACATTGGATAAATAAAATCGCCAACTACAAAGCCCTTTCATCATCACTGGGGAAGAAGAGGGCAGGAAGTTAAAAGCAGAAAGCTTTTGAAGGAGAAGGGGTGGGGGCGGGTGGCACCTGCCAAACCCAGGGCGTGGGGAAGATCTGAGCTCCTCCTGGGTTAGTAACTGGTTCCAATTATTTTTCCTAACCTCCTACAGCTAATTTTCTTGAAGAGAGCCTGACAAGAGTTAAGTCAGAATATCTACATTCCTCTGCATCGGGAAAATGAAAGTCCCCGGGGAAGTGGCAGTGAGAGGCAACAGTGCCAAGCATAACTCTTGTGGACAGTCACTGGAGCCTCGTCTGTCCCTGGCCCCAGCACTGGGCTTGCTGGGTGCTCAGCAAACAGCCATGACATGAATGGATGTGCTCCTTACTGCTTCCCAAGGACTTCTACACTCTGGTCCAACCACAGCCAGAGGGGTAGACAGGGTGTGGACTGCTGTCTCTGTCAAAGATAGGGCAACTGCAGTTCCAGAGGGTCAATGGCCATCCATGTTCAACCTCTCAAGGTCAGAAGGGAGCCCAGAGCCCTGACGCTCATACAGTGGTTCTTTCTCATACTGGGCCAACTCCTAAGAATTTTTACTACAGCAATCTTCACTACAACAAACCATCTTTCCTGACTTAACTGAAGGCCTACTATGTGCCATTATAAGCTCTTTCCCTATAACACTACTAAATCAGCCTTTTGCATCATACTGGGATTCCCATATATACCGCTTATTCCAATGCAAAGTGATTTCTGTGCGTCCCAGATACAAGTGTTGTGGATTCTCTGTTTTTGTTTTTTTTTTTAATCAAATAAAAACTGATTTGGTTGAACCTTTGGTTTGATTGTTTGGAAGGACCATGGAGAAGTGTTCAGACATTAGGAAGACAAGAGAGGGTATGTTTTTGTTATTGTCCTATGTTTGTTTTTACCGTGGACGTTCCTACCTACAAAGTAGGTCTCAGCTGCCAGAGTTGGGGCAGGGGACACACTCAATGTTAAGGTGACAAAATTATTTGTGGCACCACTGACCCAGAGGCAGCTAGGTTGCTTTGGGTTCTGAAATCTGCGGGTGGCACAGGAAACCTGCCTGCCTTGCTGGTGATGCCCTTCCACTGCGGTGGCTACAGGCAGATCGGAGCCTTTCTATGTAGGGAAGAGAACTCAGGAGTGGGCCTAAGAGGGACAGCTGCACGTTCAAGGTCAGAGCCACCTTCACTACTCATGACCCACCCCCATCCTTTGGCTGTTAACAGATTATGGAGCAAGTGCTTCCTAGGGGGTGTTTTCAAGGTACAGGGCTAGGGGTGCAGCTCAGTATTAGGGTGCTCACCCAGCAAATGAAAGGCCCTGGATTCCATCTCCAGGACTGCAAAATTTTCTAAAAATGACAAATTTCAAGGTATAAAGGTTTCAGTAGGAGGCTGAAAACCAGCCTGTTCCTGCATGCTCTGTAGAGAGGTCCCTGGTGATATGCTCACCCCAAGGGGCTCAGAGGTGCCTCAGAGTGGCAGGAATATGGGGTGGGGAAACAGATAAAATGTCAGAGAATTAGCAGCACCTGAAGAAAGAGTGGGTCAGGGAGGCTCAGAAGGTTTGGGCCATGAGAACAAAGGTCAATGTGACATGTGTCCCCACCCATGTGGCCAGGCCAACTCCACTCCCTGCAGCTGGGGACCATTTAGTTATCCAATATGGGGAATATTAATAGAACTATCCTGACCCTTATGGCTTTCCTCTTCCACTGAGGGATGAGGGTGTCACAGAACTCGGGAGGCCTGGAATTAGGTGGCTAATAATGTCTAATGAGCATTAGTTTATCACATTAGCTATATGGGCCCCTGATCCACAGAAGGAGAGAAAATGACAGAATTGGTCTGCTCTGATGAGACAAGTATAAGGCTCATAGGGTGGGAAGCCTCAGGGGGTGTCCTGAGCAGACATCAGGGAGAAGAAGTGGTTATGGGGACAGCAGAGCTAAGGGGATGCTACAGACAAGTTCACCAACCATATGATTTCAAAGCCATAGAATTTGGAGCTAGAAGAAACTTTAGAATTTGTCTAGTCCAACCTTTTACTTGTACAGCCCAGAGTTACTGGTCATGGCCATGTGGCAGAGTTAAGATGAGGAGCAACATCTCCACCAACAACTTTTCAGGCCTGGGAATCTTTCTAGAACCTTCCAGCCTCCCCTCCATACTGACCACAGTCAAGAATCTAAGGACACCCTATGGAACAATGTGCGCGTTCGAAGGGCCACAGGGAGCAGCCATTCAGCCAGACATACCTTGTGGGAATAATGCTGATCCACGATCCTCGCCAACCCGAAATCCCCTATCTTCAGCACGAGGTCCTCTGTGCTGATGAAGATGTTGGCGGGCTTCAGGTCCCTGTGCAGCACGTTGGCAGAGTGGATGTACTTGAGCCCGCGGAGGAGCTGGTACATGAACAGCTTGGCGTGCTCCTCGGTCAGCGTGCCCTGCTCCAGCAGGCGGGCCAGGTCGGTCTCCATGTACTCCTGGACAATGTAGGCCACGCTGAACTTGAACAGCTCGCCCTGAAGGTCAGTGCCCTTGGGTCCCAACACCTCGTACACCTTCACGATGTTGTCATGGTCCAGGCGCCGGATGATCTTGATCTCCCGGAGAGCGTGCTTCATGCTGCGGGCATCGCTCAGGGCGATCTTCTTCACAGCCACCTTCCGGCAGGTGTGGCTGTCTGTGGCTGACAGCACGAGCCCGTTGACCCCAAAACCCAGGGGTTGGAAGTCAACAAAGCGCCCGCCCAGGTCATACCCGTAGACGCTGGCAATGCAGTCTCCTCTCTCGGCCATTGTTGGCTCAGTGGTCTGGAGCTGCCCGTGTGAGGGAGGGGCAGTCAGGAAAGGCCAAGTCCCAGCTGGTGGCCTCCCCAGCACTCCTCATTCTGCCAAGTCCCCCAGCTGAGGGACGCTTTTGCTCCTGGTGAGGTCACTGCCACCAGCCGTCTGGAGGCAAGAGCGGTGCAGGTCCTTGCTCACAGAGATGGACAGCAACGGGCTCAGGCTGCTTTCCTTGCTGGCTCTGGGAGGACTGTCCACCAACTGTTATGCTTCCCAAACCCTCCGTGATGCTTAGAGTGGCTCATGCTTCTTTCAAATCTAGCATCTTAGAAGGAAAATCTGGTATGATTATCTGGAGGGAGGTGATGTTTTTCTGTCACCATGGGTCTCAGTAAAATGTGCAGCGACTCTCCTCTTTGAATCCTTCTCTGTTACGAGCAGCTCTTTCTGGCTGACGTAGGGGAGTCATGAGCTGAGCTGCTTTCCTTCACTTGAGGGTCCCAAGCTCAGCCTCCCTCTGTGTTCTGAGCAGTAGGAAGGGATCCCGTCAATGGGTTCTGGAGGCTTCTAGGGGCTTCCTTCTACTTCTGCCAGCTCCCCTTAGATTCCCAAACCCAAAGTAGCCTGAGGAGTCCTGAGAAAAAAAGCTAGAGAAAGCCAAATGCCTCTGGTGAGCTCTATGCCAGTTTATACCGAAGTCCCAAGTTCAAGGAGAGCTCAGCTGCCAGGCTGGATCCTCCGAAGACTTGGGTGGGCTGCATCCTCTTTCACCCACTCAGCCATGCCACCTTGACCAAGACGATTGTCCTGCATACAGAGGGGCTGCAGGAACGGGGCATCTTTCAGAGCGAGTTGCCTTCCCTGTCAAAGAAACAAGGTTGGGTAAATTTCCACACTCCAGCTTCCAACACCTTCCCACTTGCGTCTTTTGTTAAGCAGCCCAAGTGTTATTTGATCTGTCCAGCCAGCTGAAACACTGCTTGCTCAGGGGATTCCGGCCTCGCACAGCTCAGCCGCCCCTCCTGCTGCGTGTACTGTGCTTCCCGGCAGAGAGGGAAGACGGGCTGATTTGATAAGACCATCAGATGGCATGCCTTTTATGTCAACACCTGCTCCCCCAAGGTTAGCACGCGCAGACCGTGGGTGGCAGTCATCCCTCCTGACCTTTGCAAAATTAATTTGTGACGCTCTCCAAACATATTCCTCAGTGCTAGTTAGGAAGTGTGAGAGTCAAAAGGAACCAGTTGCAGACCGCAAATAAAGGATTGAATCAATGATCTTGTTTTTCTACATGGGTCCCTTTTCTTCCTTCTTTTGCAAATATTCTGTATATTTTTAAGAGCGAATTGGGTGTGGACTGAGATATAATGACACTGGTATTGCTCGCTTTCCATGTAGGTGGCAGAAGCACACATACCAAATTACAAGGAAACTATACTCCCACCCACAAAAAGGAACTCAGCCCAGAAACTAGGGCACAGATTTTCCTGTGCTGTATCAGGTTGAAATCGTGAGCTATATATTCTTTTAGATGACGGGAACCTAGCTCTTCAGTGATGGGTTAAATCCAAGCTTGTCTGCCCCCCTCTGGTGGTCACTGACTCAAATTACAGGCATAGGAACTAAGTAGGGAGAAAAAAACAAAAAACAAAAAGACAAAAAACCCTGCAAACCTAGCAATGTCAATTCAGGACTCTGAACAAAGGCAACATGGTAGGGTTCCAAGAGAGTGGCAGGTTTTCTAAGTTCATAAAATCAATGGACACAGAAAGAACACTGTGTCCAGCTCCAAGGACTGAATGTGGCTGGACTGTTTCTTCTTCATTCTCACAACACTGCAGTCCCTGCTCCCCACCCCCACCATGGGGATACTTCTCCATCTGAACTCTGGGTAACTCTGCAAATGATAAATGAAGCAAAACAACTGTGAACTCAATTGAGGGGCCAAACTCAGGGACACAGATTACTAGAAATAGTAAATAATCAGAGCCTTCCCCCACCCAGGAGTTCTAATGAAGGGAATTTGCCAAGAGTCTAGAACTTGGTGAGCACTCAACAGATGCCACCTGTGATTGCTGTTGTCAAACATTTCCTTACATCTGAATAAAGCGTCCTGACTCTTCTGATGACTCAACTGTTCAGCCACTCTGCTCTGCAGTTTTTGTTGGGCAAAGCAGCAAAATAATCACAGACTTATAGAATTCCAGACTGGGAAGCAATCCTGGTGAACAAGTCCCATGTCCTTAACAGGGAATGGTATTGCCTTTCTTGGCTTATTTGAGTAGGAGTTGCTACTGGCTTTTAGTGGGCAGCATTTGTTGACCATCCTACTAAGCAACCCCATTAGTGAAAAACTGACATCTGCCCCATCATCCCCAAGTGCTAAGAACACCTCTTCCCAGAGACTCAGTGCGCCTCAGCCTATGTTTCCAGCATAGAGAGGGCCAATAAACATGTGATTCATAGATAGACGTTCTCTCTTTTGAGGGCACCTAGCCATTGTGGGCAATAACCACCACTGGGCCACAATCTCCAACAATGCTAGTGAAGTCCTCCTGGCTACCTAACTCAGGGGAACCAGAGAGCCCCCCCCATCCCCTGTTCTACCCGTTTGATTCCTGCAGCCCAAACCAGGGAAGTAAGACTCAATTGCAGCTTCTACCATGTGCCTGGTCTGGTTCCCAAGGGCACAGCAAGGAGAGACAATTCCACATTTTGTTTTATGAGGAGAGACGCCTGAGCCCTCTTCCCTCCCGGCTCCCACTGGGTTGTAAACAGAGAAGGGACCGGGCACCCATGACATCACAAGCCAGCTGGAAGGAGGATTTGTTGGAGATTCGCTGCAATGCAGATAATCTGTGAATAATGAAGAGAGGCTCTGTGTATTTTTAAACTCTCCTTTTCCTCCCATGTGTGGGAGGAACTGTCCTTCTGTGTGTATGTGTCTCTGCATGACCATGAGAATATGCTCTCCCAATATGCTGTCAGCTTGAGTGGGCAGAGAGCATGTCACCCTGGGCTCCATACAGCCCGCCACCTTCCTCCTTAAACTCCTGCCTGGCTTCGCTGCCTGTGCCTTCCCAGTTCCTGAAATGCTCTCCTGCTTTGTCCCCACTTGTTGAAATCCTACCCATGACTCAGAGTCCAAATGAAGTCTCCCTTCCTCTCTGAAGTGTCCATCCCACTTCTCACTGACATCTCCTCCTTTTCTCAGCCTTGGTGTCAATCCCATATTTGACATTTACTATATACTAACCTGGGCTGTTATTTAGCTTTTTATACCTGTTCATCTCCCAACTAAACTTTCGGCTTCACAAATCTAGTGCACAGAGTGGTGCACAGAGAACAACTGTGGATTAGAAAGACCTGCGTACCACGTTTATTGTTATCTCTTCTCAAACCTCTTCATTTTCTCTTTCCTTCTCCAATTCTGCTGTAATGTCTACTGTACTGTAAACCCTTTGCCTTGCTCCACAGGAGAGACGAGAGACAAAATATCTTGTCTCTAAGTCCCGTATTAGCGATTCACTTCTGACATGGTATACCTAGAGTCAGGGGCCATCAATACCCATAGGAGCAGGCTTGCATCTAGATGTGTCCCCGGGGCAGGGGAGCCAGCTCAGCAGCTCTTGGGGCAATGCAGCTGCTTAGAGCAAGACCCAGTCATTCTCCTTTTGGAGGTGGTGGCTCAGATCTGCCTTGAGTCACAGGTGTGATTTCAAACCCAAACAGTTGGCATTCACTGTGGAGACAGAAAGGTCACCTGTTCAGCTACGATCGAAAGACACCAAGCAAGAGGAATGCAAGTGTCTATTGCAAGGGATCCCAGGACTCCACGGCAAGCATCCATATAAAACACAGGAATAGAAATTTCTACCCCCAGACTCCTAACGATGGAGCTTCAGCCCTCAACTGATTTCTCACTGATTTAGCAACAGCTTATTTGATTAATTATTCTCTCACTCACCCAGCCTTTTAACATGTGGAGGCAAATCAGAGACAAGATGATGTGTGCCAACTGTCCCTTTCTGGAATTCCTGGGGTTCTGGTTTACAAATCAGCTTTGGAAAGTCTAAATTTAGACTCACCTCTCTGCCTGCTCAGATCCTCCCAAAGCTCATGCTGTCAACTTTCAGCAGGAAATACGGTCCCCTGTGAGGTGCTGACATTTCACAGACTCTGCTTTCTTTCCTCTCCTGAACACCCAAAAACCAGCAGTAAATTCTCAGGCAGGGCTGATGTTTACAGTTGAATGGGCTGTGCACTGCATAATTCTAGGTGGCGCCATTCACATCACAGTTGGGTCTGACTGATTCCAAGGCTCATGATGCAAATCACTGTAGTCTATGTGAATGAAGTCCTCTGGACCAGGGATCAGTAAACTTTTCTATAAAGGGTCATAGAATAAATATTTTGATCTTTGTAGGACAGGTAGCCTTTGTTACAACTACTCAGAATTGCCTTTGTAACGCAAAAGCAGTCATAGAGAATTCCTAAATTAATAGGCACAGATGTGTTTCAATAAAACTTTATTTACAAACATAGGTGGTGGGCCAGATTTGGCATGGGGGCCTAGTTTGTCAATTCCTGCCCTAAGTTCTATGGGAACATTCTCTATTCTACAGTAACAAAGAGGAGCTGAAGGCTCATGGGGAGAAAGATCTCCTATAAGTTCACAAATGTGATCACACAATGATTCTTGCCTGCAAATCAGCAGTTCTTCCTTTGTTTTGTGGGTCCATACTGTGCTGTGTTGCCAAAAGTTGAACAGGAGTGGTCTTGACCTACTAAATACCAGTAGCACTCCCTAGTCCCTGCGTCACACATTTTCAAAAGTCCTAGAGGGCACTGGCACCTCTCAAACCCATCTCCATTGAAGAATCTAAACCAGTTGAAATAATGCAATTCCCCTTTGGTAGGGACCGGCTCAGGGGTGGCCATGTGATCCAGTTCTTGATAATATTCCTTAAGGGAAAGTCTGTTGGGCAGGAAGGGCTCAGGGAAAACCTTCCTTCTCTGAAGAACAGAAAACCCTCCTTTCTGTCTGTGGATGCAGCTGTAAGGGAAGTGATATTGGTGCCGCAGCAGCCATATTGAGACCCTGTAGGAAAAGGCCTGGGGAGCAAAGCCGGGACACCAGAGTTGACAGATGAGCAAGCAACCTGTTGACAACCCTGGGGAGCTGGTCCATGCCTGCAACTACCTACCTCCAGCTTTCTTGCCAAGAGAAATTGTCAGGTCTCTGTGAGTCAGCAGAGAGTGCAAATGCTCAATGAAATTAGTGATGCCACCCACCCTGGGCTGCATTTCCCTTACACCAGTTTCCTTGAGAACATGCCTGTGGGGATGTCACCAAGAGAGAAACAGGAGGACCCTGTTGTCTTTATCTCCCTGGGTGAAGGCTAAAGGAAAGCAGCAGACAGCAGAAGAAAGATCCGATCCTGGGGGTGGGGTGGGGGGTGCTTCCTTGTGGAAGACTCGACTCTTTCAGGCTTTGTGCTGATTTTTCTTTCCAACATTACGTAACCAGCCAGGGAGAACAAAGACTTCCCAGGGCTCCCAACACTAAAATAGCAGGGAGAGAAATTCTGGCTGTCTCATCGGAGCTCCGGCCCCTACATGGGCAAAGCTGGGGAAGGGGAGCAGTCTGGTCCCCGCATGTGAAGTCTGGGAGCTGGTCATCACAGGGACAACACCGGCTGCCCAGAGGGACCTGCAGAGCCCACAGGCTGGGAATCCAGCCTCTGTTGAGAGGGCGCGGGGAGGTGGGGTGCACGAGAGGGCTTCAGTCCTGCTGATCTGAGATGACATCTACCTTTGACCTTTGCAGATTCAAGGTGAAACTTCTCATTCCCTCTCTT